GTGTGATATTCTCATTAAAGTTCATTTTTCTTGATTATTTTTTAAGCAAGTTTTTTTTCTCTTGTATGGTAATTATTAGTGGTCTTTTTCACAACATTTTTGTAACATATCTTGTAGTAGTGGTACTAATGATAATGTTACCATTAGTATTATTACTACTCAGGACTCTTTTGTAACCACACTGCAGCTGTTAATATTTACTTTTAAATGAAAACCCTGCAATGTATTTTAACTGGTTTTGCAGTATACTTTAGTTTTTCATTGTATGTCATTGTGACAATGTTTTTTGCTGTATAATTGTACTCTTCTTTCCAATACACCAAACCACCATTGCCTACAACTACTATTATGATGGTGGTCATGTTTGTTTTTTATGGATGCTCACATCTTCACTCAATTACCATTATGCTGCTCATGGATCCTAATACAATTTCTTATTTTTACAGTATTACTTGATATATATATTTCGAAAGGAAAGTATGTTTTAACTATGCATCTATTTGGTTTAGGATTAAAGTGCAGTTTATTTGCCTTTATTTTTAAGAGTGTGTGTTCCAAATGGTTTCTGAGTATTACCAGTATCTCTATTATTATTATTATCATCATCATTGTTTATCTATTTATTTATGCTATTTTAATTACTATTGTTGTTGTTGTTAATGGCATTATTAGTAGTAGTATTGCTGTTACTGATTATTTTCATGGAAATGATGACTATTATTGTTTTACATATGGTAATTAAATTTTCCTTTGACGGACATAGCTGGGGTATTGATAATAAGCAAAAAGCATTCATTTCAGATAGTTCTCAGATGTCTAGTCAAACCTTTGCGTGTGTGTGTGTAATGGCTTTTTTGTGATACTAGAGAAGTTGAAAAATATTCACTAGGTTGCTTAATTTATTCAGTTTGAAATGGTATTCTGTGTTCTTCCAGCAAAGAACTGGTAACTTTGTCATGATAGTGAACGAGAGAATTGTATATTGATACTACAGTTTATATTGGCTGTAACCCATGTGCATTTTAATAACTCACGATGTAATAAAGAATGGATCATTTTTTTCCTATTTTATTTCTTCAGCTTTTAGAGTGAATATTACTGAAAAAAGTGGAAAAGAATGCCAGGTATTTTCTCCTCCTCTGGAAATATCGAAGATATTGAATTTAAACATTATATATATGGAGTGACAGTTTTTTCCATAAAGTAACTTCTGTTTCAGGTTATTTAAGCTAGAGTATATTTGGGATGGTTAGTAAAGGATAAAACAGATTTTTAATGTAAGGTTAGTTTATACAGTACTGAAAAAAGTATTGAAGATATATATGAAGAACACTCTTTGTTATGGTTATTGATTCTAAATTCAGTAGCTTGAACATCCTCATATTTACATTTTATTAATTGTAAAATAATGGGTGATAGTTGATAAGATAATTCAATGTAGTATAAATTGAGTTCCAGACATGGGTATTAGATGCACACAGTAATCAAGTTAGACAGACAGGTTTCCTTATTTTCTTTCTACTCTTTGCCAAGAATATCAACCAGGGGCCAGATTCTCAAACGCGTTAAGGCATCGCATATCCGTAAGGCGCCATAATTGACGGCCGAGCGATCTTATGGCCCATACACAAAACAAGGGACCTGCCATGTTGGTATAAGTTAGTGCGCCATAAATCAAGGCAAGGGGAGAGGAGCCTTAGCAGGTTACCATAAATGACATTTTTTCAGTTTTAAAACAATTAAGGCAACATTACAGTTTGTGCTTTACTAGATTATAGTGTTTTTAGGTGTACATGAACCAATTGTGGACTACTAAATAAGGCATGTGTAATATTCCAATGTAAGTGTGATTTGCTTTTCCCAATAGGTTAGATTAGGTGTATCTGTAAACAGTGCAGTCTTCATCTCGTATGTAATGGTTTTATTTATGTATACATTTTTTTTTATTAATGTTAATGTCACTATTTACATTATTGTTACCTTGATTTGTGGGTGAGTGCCCTTCCAAAACCTAGCTCATTGTCGTCGTAGGAGGGCTTAGGAGACACAATGTAGAGGATTACCCCTACCTTGGGCCTCAGCCCTTGCCTTAACTAATTTTGCTTGGTCCTTTCTTGTCTTATTTCCTCTTCCGTGTCTTCTTTATTCCCCTCTTCTATCCCATTCCTAAGGTGTGAGAACTGTGCTGAAAGGATGAAAGGCAGGCTTTGTGTCAGTCATGAACGGCCTCTGGGAGCCATGGGCACGGTATTCCCTTGGATAATTACCTAGCCCTTATCCCTTATGGGGACCATGAGAGGTAGACCGTTTCTTTTCCCCAGTTTATTCAGACTCTTTACCCTTAATAAAGGCATTAAGGCTTGACTTTTCATCAAATAACCTATCTGAATTTGATTTTGATGGTTTTCCAACCCCTGCCCCTCCTTTGACCACGGCTCCGACCACTGATGCTAATACCACCTCTGCGATGCTTATGAACAATTCCAACTATTCTGAAACACCCACCCAGGTTATTACTAAACCCCTAGAAAGCACCTCTTCCTCATCCCCAACATTCTCCTGTTCATCTCCTGCTGCAAAACCCTTATTACTACTCTTCATTCTAATGGTCTTTCCCCCCTGCAGAAGTACTCCACTCCACACCACCCCATCTTCCTCTTGCCCTTGTCCTTCGACTGCCTCTACCTCTGCAAACCTTCTGAGTAATCTATTTGGCCCAGCCAAGTGGGATTCTTTGTGATTCCCCCCCACAGCCCCCTATTCTGAGAATACCCATCTCATTCAGCAGTGCCTCCAGAAACAAGGAGGCAATGTTACCTTTCGCAATTGCTCTGATAGTTCACGCCTTGTCACTGTTAATCTGAAGCCCAGGCTCTTGCACTATCTACCCTAACTGACCTTACTGGCAGACCCATTCCTGCTGAACCTCACCCATCTCTTAATACTTGTACTGGAACTGTTTCTATTCCCTCAAATGCTAGTCCCATGTATAACAAGGACTGGTCAGACTGTGAAAATGACTTGCTTTCCTGCCTTGGTGAATATGATGCAATGGCAGTACAGTGTTACACTCTTCCTCCTAGATGCCAATGTAAATTCCACGTCAATATTACCAAGATTAGCTTCCATAGACAAGACCTCCCCCATGAGGTTTATATTGGTGGATTGTTTTATCATGTCCGACAACGTCGACCCCTTCCTAATCAGTGTCAGAAATGTTCACGTTTTGGCCACCCAGCCAAATATCGTCACTCCACAGCCTGCTGCCCTCTGTGTGCACAACCTGGTCATGACTTCAAATTGTCCTGTTCAGTCACATACATGTGACAATTTTGGAGACTCCCATAATGCCCTGCCTAAGAGTTTGATTGGGAGGTAGCAGTCTTTAGATTTAAACTAGGCCTCACTCTACGTGAGGCGAGGCAGAAAGCACGATGACAAGCTTTTCTCTCTCAACTTATTCTAAAACAGTCCTACGTTCTGCTCCCCCACCATCTGCATAAGATGTTTCTACATCTCCCCAGATATCTTTCCCTTCTACCCTAAACCTACATCCTATGTCTACTCACCCTATCCACTAGTCAAATCCATTTTCCATCCTAAATCCAGATACTCCAATCTCTACCACTTTCCAATACCTACCCCTCCTCCTCACTTTAGTTGTCGTACCAGGCAACCTAAACGTTCCACTCCATACTCTCCTACTACATTCTCTCCTACACCTTCCTCTTCATCTGCTCCTCGGTTATCTATCTCCTCTTCTCCTCCTTATAAGAGAACATTTGTTTCTCAGTCCTCTGTACCTAATTCCCCTCCAGAAACCCTTGAAGACATCCAAAACTTCCTAAAGATGTCCCATCCACCCCCCAATCCCTCTGTTCCTACTCCTGCTACATTTAAAGTATTTGCAGATATTCATCCTCCTTCCCAAGTTCCTTCCACCCCCCTTCCTCCTACACCCTCACAACATACCCCACCCTCTCTACCACTTCCACATGAATACTCACACAAATCCTCTCTATCACAACAGTGTCCTTCTCCAGACCCCTCCTCTCCAGACATTTTTCCTGATGCTTCACCACCTTCCCCAGTCTCCCTTTCTCAACCCCTGGATTCTTCTCCTACTTTTCCAACAGCCACCTCTGTTTTCCTTGATCAGTGTCCCTACTCCTTCCCCAGTCACAGATACACTGCAGTTCACTCAGTTGCTCTACTGCTTCTCCTACTTTTCAACAGCTATCTCTATTATTCTTTGAACATTCTTCCTATATCTTCCCCAGTGACAGATTCACTATAATTCTTTCAGCCACCCTACCTCAACCATCCCCTGTATACTAATTTTTGCTCTGGTTCACTTGCTCCCCATTTTCCTTTTTTACTACCATACTATCCCCTAACGCTCTCAAACCTTTGACATCCAACACATTTTATTGTAATCATTAACTCTCCTTTGCCCTTTCCGATGCAGTACTATATATATATATATATATATATATATATATATATATATATATATATATATATATATATATATATATATATATATATATATATATATATATATTACTATATGACTTTTGATGTCTAGCACATTTATTTTCAAACATTAAACATTAACAAACATTGTGGGTGAGTGAACATCATTATGATTCGGAGAAAAGGGAGATTACTCTATGTATATATGGCTTTTGTGGAGATACTACTTCGTTTTAATTTCATGGTATTCATGCATTCCGGTAACTAGGCACTCCTTTTTATAAGGAATCTTGCTTATTTTTCCTATATTACTTATTCTGGAACATATTAGATAAAAAGTTTTTTCATGCCACGGGCTGTACACAGCATTGTGTTTACAGAATCAGCTGATTAGCATTTACAGTTTGTGATTGGTCAAGATTCCCTAAGAGCCATCTGAAACAGCAGCTGTAATTGGCCTCTGAGGATCCGACACCTTGAGTGATTTAAGGCAGGGATAAGGCGCCTTAAAAAATGTTTGCACATGCAACGCTAAGTCAGAGATACAGTGCCTTAGATGGGCCGTAAGTTACATCACCGCAGGACATTTAAGGCCTTTTGAGAATCTGGCCCCAGAAGGAGAGCTATAAATAATGAAACTGCAATACATTCTTAAATAATTTATTTTACAAATTTACATGTATAAAAACTATTCTACAGTGTTTGTGACAAATATTCAAATATCCTATATTACTTCATCATCATGTAAATCACCACAGACAAGTTTACGATCCCACAAGATGGATAACCCCAAAACTAGTATTTCATCATTTGAATGACTCAAGTGATACATTCAAATATCAAAGTTTAATATTAGAAGAACATGTAATTCTATCACAATTTATCAGTCTCTAAAACAGGTGATACACCTGAAATGAATTACATTCTTTTACTCAGAGGTTCTAACAAGTGGTAGTTAATATGTATGGTAAAAATCTATATATGGTAGTTTTTACTATAAATATGTTGCTTCTATGAAAATTATTTCTTTATAAAAAGACTGATTGTTATAAAATGTAAGAAATGCCAAAAGAAAGAGTAAAACTGAATGCAGAAATACACACTGCAACCATTTTTCCTATATATTCACACTGTGAATATCATTAAAGCTGCACAAAAAAGAAGGAAAAGAAAACTGCTACTAGAAGGCGCAGTAACTCTAAGAGTCCCTCCACATACCACGGGATTGGGACAAGGCACAGGTGCTCTTCGGAAGGCACAAGGATGCCAGTGTGATTTCAGAGTCTGTAGTGACTGCTGAAGGTGCCAAAGTGCCACTGGTTCATTACATATGCATATGTTGTGATGGGTTGTGTTATTTGGCAGGAATATCTGGACATTACATATACACTGGGCAACAGCTGAGGAATGAGCAGTCAGCAGAGAAATGTATCCTAGAGACTACACAACAGCAACTAAGCTAAGGATGATGATTGAATTAAAATGAACATTTGCTGACAAACCCATACCCTGGCCACTGACCCCTTACAGATAAAAATTCAGTGTTTGTACAAGAATAATTCTACAAAAAAACATCTAATGAG